TGCAGGACGCAGTCAGGCTGTCTTATCGGCTCTCTTTAAGTGATGACACTTCAAATACAGATTGTGAGAAACAATGCTTCGTGCTCTCTAATGGTACTGCCATGAAAATCTACACTGAAGTTTTGGAGTCTCCTCCCTCCCGTTTCTTTTCTACCTCCATACACTGTTCTTTTCATCAGACAGTACGTGCACATGAGGTGATCTGGCAGCAGGTACTCGCACTGCAGGCGTCAATGCCATTCAGACAGCCGTGTTCCATTATGTTTTGTGTTCCAGCTGAACTCCATTAACGGTTCAAGAAAAGTAAATGGAACCAACAGAGTAGGAAAATATCGGGATTTGGGTGTGCTGCTCAGAGAATGCATGCTTTGAAATCTGGCCTTATGAATGCCACATACTGACATTTTCTACGGAAGAGGTCCCAAATTTCCCATGAAGTTGAAATTTCCTGTTTTAAAAATACACATTGACATATCGATTTTTTTTTTTTTCCCAGAACATATAAAATAGTTTCCAAAAGTTGCAGTGCTTCATTCATTCACTCAGATAAAATATGCAGATCCTATTTTTGAGTAATTACATTTCAAAAGAGCACAGCTCTTTCAGCATATCAAATTGCTACTGACATATGCCATCCGTCTTAAATACTGTTTTCAGCATTCTAATTTCTTTTCCTAATCACGAGTCCGTGATGACAAATTAAAACAATATTTTGCGTGCAATTCATATTTTGCTGAAATTTCAAATGGCAAGAAAAGGATAAGTATTCCGTTTATTTTCTCTTCTCAATTAATACAGCAATTAAGATAAGGAGTATAAAACTGGCTTAATTGGGTTGCTATGGAAACTAATTGCCTGATTTCTTCAAAAATAGCATGTTTTAGGCGGAATCAATCTGTGGTAATTTAATTATGTACATCATGAAGCAAGAAGACAGGTTAGGTACATGTAAGGAAAAATTCTATTTGCAAATGGTGACACATCTCTTTGTCACTCAATTATTTTCTAGCTGTTGTCTGTTTCTGTTCATTACACATGGTACAGAATGACAATTTTTCCTTCTAATGATTAGGAGTATCAAGAACTGCACAATGAATGCTTGAGAGTATTTCAGCTAGTCCCTGGAAACAAGGAAAAAAGTGAAAATTAGATTCTGACTCACCTCCTCCTCATTTTCCTTTCAATGTGCAACAGGGAAATTGAAACAGTGCAACTCAGCTACCTAATTTATACATAAACAACTGGCCTCAGCACGAAGCAAAATCCTTGCACTGGCCAGAGCAACTCGGGGATGGTGATGTCACAAGGAGAGCAAAACACTTTTGGAAAAGGTGGTTTTCATTCATGGACTATTGCTGTAAGAAATGGTGCATGCTGTGATTAAAGTTGTATCAGTTTAAATTGTGAACTCTGAACTGAGCATCTTTAACATACGGAACAGATGACAATTTTTAATGACATTTACCCTCTTCTATGTTTAACGTAGCATGAGTACTTTTATTCCCAATTTTTGTCTCAGTAGATCCCTGGTGATGAGAATAGCAGGGGAAAAGCTGGTTCATTGGCAGGACAGCAGTTTGTGTCTCAGTGGGAAAGCACTGCTGCCTGGCTTTGTGCAGGCTGTACCCTGCCACGATGTCATGGGAAACTGGAGTTGCTATCAGTATTTAAAGGAGTCAATAAGATTGCATATTGGCATTTCCACGTTTCTCACCAGCAGCTGGCCTACCTGACCAGCACAGGTGGTTTTCCACGTATCAAGCAAACAAATGTAACCAAAGTTTTTCTTCTAAAGACCTGAAGAATTTATATAATTGGAACAGTAACTGGGGCATACAATTCCTCTGCAGTAATACTGTTCATTAACTTCAGAGAAAACTGTTTGGATCCATATTACTATTCCTTTTTCTCTCTTAAAAAGGGAGGATAAACATTACTTGCTTTTTAATGTTACATATTTTCCAGACATTTTAAAATTTTAAACATTTTTTTCCTTTTTTTTTTTTTCCTTTCTCTAAATTGTGAGTCAGACTCTTAGAATATAGTTGAAAAAGGACAATTCCAAGAGAGTTTTTAGGCATGACAACCTTTATGAGAAAAACATACGGGCATTATGCTTCATGAGAGTCATCTCAAATGCGCCAGAACGTAAAGGGATTTGTACAACATAGTTAAACAGCAAATCACCCAGAAGGTCTGATCCAAGCAGGTATCTCAAACTCAAGTGATTTATTGCCTATATGTGTGTGGTTTATACATACACTCCCAATAACTGTACCTTATGCTTATGATATTGCATTGTTTTTAGTGATTAGAACGATGAATAAAGGAAATAAAATGGTCACCATTGTTGGCACTTCTCTTAATCCTGATAACCCCTGCTAAGGTTGAATGAAACCAAGTTTACATAAACCTGACTTTGTCCTGTTATGAACTCATTCTCAGATTAAACACAGTTCATGACACCTCAGTGCGTTAACTCCACTTCATGATATTTCCTACCATTATTTAATTTCTTCTTTAATAGACCAGAGACTCTGTGTCCACACAAGTCTTTAATAAAGAGTTTTCAAATTCTAATGACACTACCTTGACCTTTACTGAAATCAAAAGTACAGAGCAAATTAGGATATTCATTCCAAAAAGTTCTTTTCACCGTGAAATTTCCCTCAATAAAAGGTCAAACTTTATTATCTGTAAAATTAATACTGTGTCCATCAAATGTGCTCTTACGCATTGTTTAAATTATGTTTGGGAATGTATAGGAACTGTGTAGGGCAGATCTAACATAGTTCATACTTAGCTAAATTTCTCTTCAGTTCATTGCATAACAGTATCAAGTTCAAAAAGAATATAATAAATAACTGTATTATTTTCTGCACTTGAATGACTCCATTTTCTAATAATTCTCTCGTGTTTACTGTCCTACACATAAAGAAAGCTTTTGTGACTTACTAAAAAAAAAGACAGAGATGTGATCAATTTATTTAAAGAATCACCAACTGTGAATCACCTGGTTTTACTTCTGGCTGAAATCTCAAACATTTTCCTAAACAGAAAAACACCCCACCACTTGCCCCCTGCCCTGAAGGGTAATAACCAGCAGTCAGTGCCTCATGTGTCCAGTAACAGCTTCTCCACTGACATCAGTGGAAGGGGAAGAAAAAGGTACCACCATGAGTTTTGCCTTCAGCTGCCTCTACAGCTGAAATAAGATACCAATGTGTGGTGATTTTAAAAACAGGCAGTGATGGAATATGATGGATAACAGAATCCCTTCTGTAGTTAATGTATTCTATATGCTGTGAATACTAGCAGAAAATAATTTGTTCTTTTAATGTTGGACTAAGGTCCTTTTGCAAGGACTGATGTCCAAATTTTTATTTCATTTTAGAATCTTGCCACATTGTAAATACCATTAAAAAAAAAAATCAGCACACAGCTCACAGACACACAGCACAGTAAACATCATGTTTGAATGACCATTATTGGCACCTTAGCATGCCAGTAATAAATGCACACATGTGGTTTCTAATTACTTCATTAAATAAGTCAATAATGTTGGAGTAGATTAGCTCCATGCTAACAGGACTACTAAATTAGAAATAAATGTAACAGCTGCTAGAATTAGATGCTGACTCAGTATGTCAGCTGAACACAATTACTTTGCGTCCAACCCATGTTACCAAGTCCTCTCTTGCTCTGCTGTGTAGAGCATCTTTTACACACCTCTTCCTCCCCTTGTTTTTCCAGCATGGAAAAAAGTTCTGGGAACGAAGAGGGTTCACTGAGCAGTAAGGCTCATGCTTTAGAATGGCTGAGTAATGAGTGTTACTGTGCTGAGAGTAAGATAAACATCTACCCAAAAGTAAGAAAAATCCATCTTCCTACAGACTGATTCTCACAGTAAGAAGTAATCAACATTTTATAGTTGAATGTTCCACCTCTTCTTGTCGAGGGCGTTTGACTTCACCTTTGAAACATGTGAAACTTGGTTCTTTTGATAATCCCTCAGTAATGTTATCCTGGAATGTTGCTTTCATCCTAACACAATTTTTCCTGGTGTGAAGATGCATTTAAAACTTCTTTATTTGATAGCAAGTTAAAAACAGAAATAAGCTTAGTGCTACATTTTGCTATGGAAATTTCCCTAGAAAAATTATGCTTATGAATGATAAGGAAATCATTGTGTCAGCAGAATTTTTATCTTTTATATTTAAGGAGATTTTTTTTTTTTTTTCCTTTTTCTTCTCCCCCTGTCAGCCCTGCAAATGTTCCCTGAGTCATGTGGTTACAAAAATATAGAATTACTCTCCTAACAAGAACATTTTGCAATTCATCACCAGGACTAAACCAGCTGCAGCTGTGAGAAAACGTTACCATATTAGCTGTTCTATTACAGACAAATCTGTTGTTTATTTGGTGCCGTTAGCTCTGGAGATTTGCAGAAATGTTCAGGATTTTCTCTTTTCTTCATGCTACAGAAGTCGCTTACTGAATTTTCACTAGATAGTTTAATTCTGATTATATTTGACAGAAGGAACTTTAATCCTCATAATATTTAAAAAATATTGCACTTTAACAAGGGTTTTTACTTACGTTTTTATTGCCATTGTCACTGCATTGAATAGAATAGAATTCAGCATATCTGGGACAAGTTGTTATTGGAATTAAGGTGCCTTAGGCTTACTAACTGCTCAAATATTATGAAGAAATTAACTCTGATAAGGACGATTTATTACTTTCCAAGAATATTCATGCTATTTGCATCTCTTATTGAGATCTCAACATAGGAGTAAATATCTGAGATGTAACCTTAAATCAAAGCTGTTCTGAATTTCATGTTTTTTCTTTGTTATTGCAGTGGTCTCTTATACCTTCAGATGGCCAGCTAACAAAGTGTTTAATCATATGCACGTGTGCCTTTCTCAAGAGGAGCTTTCAAACAGCAAAACAATTAGTTATATATTTAGTGAATGTAATCCATAACAGTTACTCACCACTGTCTATTGCCAAGAAGAGAGCAGTGTATTTGTTATCCTGAACATAAGGAGATTCCCGATCCAGGATAGCAGTGGTGGCAACGGTACCATTGGTGGGATTGATCTCTAGCCAGCTTGCTGGATCCTTGTAAACCGAATACCTAAGTAAAAAAGAAAATAACCATTATCAATTTGTATATTTAAAAATGAAACAACTACATTGCTACAAAAGAACATGTCTTTTCAATCATAGGCTTCTATGGGGTGGTTCGCTTAAGACTTAATAAAAAAACCCAACAACTTAAACTTGGTGCCTTTGAGATGGAGCATTATTGTTAGGTTCATTTGACAAAGAAACACAGATTTGAGCCAATACTTTGGATACGGAAGCCCCAGAGCTTGACAGAGAAATCAATATCTGAAACATTATATAGGATCTGCTTCCTACATACAGTCTTTGGAGTGTTATACAGCTAAAGAATCCGAATGCTTTCAGCTGGCCTCTGCAGCGGCAGTGGTATTTACGGACTAAATAAATCCTCTCACATTCTTCTTCTAGACTCAAAATTCTGCTTGGACTAGGATTTATTTACTTTTATTGCTTTTCCAAGTATTTTTCTTTTTTTTTTTTCCCCTCACAATTAATTATTTAGGATAGGTCTGGAGATGCAATAAACTCTGAGGTATGATATCAAAAAGAGAGTTTTGATTCATTAGGCCTGACTTGGGAGCTGGTTGTATGCAGACGCTCAGTTTGCACGCATTTGTTCTGCAGTTTTTGATCCATTGCTTTTTGCTTCCAATAATTTGATATAAGTGTTGTAGCAAATGGACAGATCGATATGATGGGAAAGGCGTTACAACAAAGGCGTGATGATAAAAGGACCAGCACGAAAGATGCTGTAAGAGAATCTAAGAAGTTTGCTCACCCGCATCAGAAGATTCCAGGTTCACAGTGGAAAGCTTCACTAAGGAGGGATCTCAAGAAAGAGATCCTTCCTCGTGGGCAGTCAGCCCTTAAATGAGGTCTAAGAGAGGTGCAGCCAGGGGTGAATTGCCTTCACCTGTGCTCCCAGGGCTGACTGGGTTCTTTCCCCAGGTGCTCAATCAGTGTTTCAGGGAGCTGGGACTCAACAGTTCCCATACAAATGTTCAGAATCTTGGAACAATTCCACCACGCCCATGTTGAAGAAATTTGAATTTGAAAATGCTGTCTGCCAAAATTCTGTAGTACATAATTTGCTACTGTGCTTTCTTTGTATTAATCAGCACAAATGTTTAGGTCCTGATTCTGGAAATATTTAGAGAGTTTGTGGACTTTCTACACTAAGAACTACCTGCTTTAACTGAAGTAATAAACATAAGAATGTTCATTATTAAGGCCTGATTTTATACTCACTTAAATATATTAAGCAACGTAATAATACAGAGCTAAATTAACCGGCAGTAATTCCCTCTCCAATGAAATTTTAAATATTTTAGACAAAAACTCAGATAAATAATCAACACTATAACAACCTGTTTATCTTTTTTTTTTTGGTAGTGAATGCTATAGGTCCTGAACAGCCATAAAAACTTCTGTAGACATTTTAAATGACAAATAATTGACATGAAACCTGTTGTTGTTTAAAGAGCTTGTGTGAAGCCGGTGCCTTGTGAGGGTGCTCATGTGAAAGGTGTTCTGTGTGATAATAGTGTGAAAAACACTCGTTATTTATCAGTGCAACTACTTCCTAAGCAAGGAAACAAACATAACAGATTGTTAGGAAAAAATAAGGTATGTAAAAAGAAAGAAAATGGTATTTGTTAGAAGAGGAAAGCAAAATTGCAGGCCAACCAGAGATGTGGTCTCATTCAATTCCTACTTCAGAGGCTTGCTTTGGTCTCTTTCTCCTCTGGGAAGAGGAAATATAAGTGACAGTCAGTTGCTAGATCCCTCTAACAAACTAAGGCACGTCTATTATCATCCCTGACAATGAAGGGGCAATGTTAGCTGTCCTGTCCAGCTGCTTCTGAAGCCCCAGTTTTTGTCTCAGGCCTATAAAACTTCTGCTTTGTCACTGTCCAAAAGTTGTTTTAATGAAATGAAGAATGGTTCCCCTCCCATCCTTCATCCAGCAACAACTCAAAATTTGAAATAATCCCATAGGAAGACGTCATTAAGCAAAGACAGTAATTTGGGGGCATGGACACCATAATCTTCAGCAAGAATAAAATTGATTGCTTAAAAAGGTTCAAGTTCTGGGCATACTAGATTCCTCATTCATGAGCTAGGCAGCACAGGTACACTTACTTATGCCTGAGAAACAGGACAGAAGCATCTTTTCCCAGGCCACATATCAGGTATCCATTATAAATGGGTTAGATGAAAGCAGAGAAATACTTGAATTTCATTCTAGAACACGCACAGCTCCAGAATCCTTACGGATTTGCCATGTGGCTCACAGGACCATTTAAATAAACTGATCTATAGGTTGACTCCAAAGATCAGTAGGATATTCTCATTTCTAAAGAACGAGGTGCTAATAGACACTGCCTATGTGAATGCTGTTCTTCACTAAGACTCTCAAAACATATGGCTTGCTGATGGTCCAACAGAAGTCACTGAGAGTTTCTAAACCATTGGCTTCCTTCCCCAGGAGCAGAAACTATCCCTCAGGTAATACATGGAGAGGAAGCAAAGGCGACTGCTAACACGAAGTGAGACATTCCATCAACACAGCATGTCCCTCCACCTAACCATTTGAACACTAATCAATAGCTGAACTTTATCTCCTGTAAAAACAAGTTGCTAGAATGGTAGCAACGCAGATCCTTTCATTTCACTTTTTTTTTTTTATTGTTGTTTTTATGACTTTGCAACAAAGATAGGCACAAACATATGAAACCAGGGCAACCTAAACAATTCACACTCCATTGTAAAACTGCAAATTCTCAATTAACCCTGAAACAATTTAAGAAGATTCAACACTTTTAAAGTAATGAGAATTTAAAATGGATTGTATTATCTTCCCTGATTGCTCTACAAAGCACTGATGGCTGTGCAAATAAAAAACTGAATTGTATAACCTGTGATTTGGCACAGGATATTGTAAAAGTAGTACTTTGTCTTTCCCACTTTTTTTACTTATTGTGAATATACACTGCAGTACAGCTAAGATTATTGTTCTGGTTCATTTGTTTTTTCTTTTTCTCTTTTTTTTCTTTTTAGGACTCTGCTAGCAAAAGATTTAGAATAAACTCATTAAGAAAAGCTCTATAAAAATAGAAATATAGAATACAGAACTTCTGATGTTTGATTCCAATGGGATCTGCTGATATGTGGCAGTCTTGAAAATCAGACCATGCTTAGGTGGTTAAACATGTTTGAAAATCACAATCATGTTGATATGTCTGTATGGATGTATACAAACCTGTGTTCTCTGGAATGCCAATTACTGCTTATTTTAAAATTATTCTATGTTGCACTAGTGAAATTTAGTACTGCCTTGTGGAGTTTGTTTTCTTGTGTTTAATTTAAACCATGTCAACAGGTTATAGTCTCTGAGGGTTATGTGAACACGTGAGCATGGGCAAGTGGGTTTAGCCTGTATGGTTGCTATCTGCCTGCACAAGGTTCATTGCCCTGGCATTATCTGCAAGGCATGTATTGCAAAAGAAGCAGAAGAAACAATTCCCTGGAAAACATCAGTTTGAAAGTATATACCTTAGCTATAGAATTATGAACAGATGCAGAGAGGCTATAGATGCAGAAGGGAATACAAATCAATCTATGCCCTTTGACTATTTGATGCAGAACTACAATAAAATAGCAAATATATGGAAATAATTTTAAATGCATAAATGTCATCTTTTCCTTCTTGTAATGTAGGTAAATAATTCAGAGGATGCCTCCTAGAGTGGCTAGCAGCTTGGTGGCTGTGGCTGGCAGCTTGATTAGCACAGAAGACTATTACACAGAATAGAGGTAATAATACAGGCATGGAAATCTTATCAGAACCACAACCTTGCATTACCCACAACAACAGTTTCACAGCCAACAATCAAATAGCCCAGGGGGTCAAAGGAGAGCAGCCAGGCATCTAGATGCTGCTCTTTGCAAGGACTGCCAGAGCTTGGTAGTTGCCAGAATTTTCCCATGTGGAGTCAAAGGGTCTTGGCTCTTATGCTATAACAGAAAGAGAAGCAAGGCAAAATGAGGCATTTTGAACGTATTGAGTATCACCACAGCAGGAAAGAGCGGTGCCAAATCTGTACTGAATGACCCATCTGTGCCAGCTTGCTTTGTGGCACTGACAGGAGTTAAGGTGAGCAAGCTGGACAGGCTGGGAAGGGTGGCAGCTCTTCAGCTTTATACAGCTGGGCACTGCTCAGCTCACCTTGCACAGAGATTGTTTGACCAACAGGATGCAGCAGGAGTGGTTCAGTGCTATTGATCCAATGAAGTATCTGACTTTGCAGCTAGAATCTAAACTGCAGGCCACAGGCAGCAAGATGAACAATAGCTAACTAGTGAGCAAGGCATAAGACATCATGTAGAAAGAGTTTTGAAAGGAGTGTGAGTTCATCTCGCCCTCTTCAGGGACTAGCTGGACACTGGTCAGTGGATGGTGAGCAATTGCTTCCACATCACTTGTTATATACACTAGTATATATGAATATATGACTATTACCTTTTTTTTCTATCTTAGTGTAAATATTTTTATCTCAACCTACAAGTCCTACTTTGTTTTTTTCCTAGTTCTCTTCTTCTGTCACAGTGGGAAGGGAGCGAGTGAGCAGACGACTGTGTGGCATTCAGCCACCTGCCAGGTTAAACCACAACACCAAGTTTTTAAATGGTAAGGTTGTATTTCTGCCTTGAGAAGCTTTTAAAAGGATAAAATTACTAAATGATTGCTAAAGGGCTGAGAACATAAGGCAACAATGGACATCAAAAGTACTGAGATAGGCAGAATAGAAAAGAATAATTTAAATAGCTTTCTTAACATGGAGAAAAATCATTACTGTCATTTTCAAATTGTACAGTTGCTTAACTCCTTTTTTTTTAACCACGTTTAAAATAGAGATAAAGCCAGATGATTCAAAATTCTCTCTTCTATGTGCATGTGTCAGTGTGAGCATGTGATGCTTACTGGTCCTGGGTGAAACTGAAAGTGTC